AAAACATACAAACCTGACACAGCGGGGCACAGAGGGAAACTAGGACAAACAACAACAGACTATACAAACATGCCAAACAAGAATAAACAATGAACATTAAAGATTAACAAAGGCTCTTTAATTATTGCACTTGTCACTCAGTTATTTCTCAGAGCTCACGTCTCCTGCCAAGTTCATTGTTATAGCATTGTCAGCTGGGAAACAAAATAATTTCACATGTAAATACAGTGAAACACATGCATGGTGTTTGTGAGAGCATCGGCTGCACCACAGCAGACGCTCCAGCTGTGGGGAAAAGTTCAAACCACAGTTCACCTGCTGGAGAAACGTTTAATAGATGCATCAGTGGAAAACTTGACAGAAGCTAAACTTCCCCTGTTGAGTTTGCAGCTGAGGTAGACTGATAAAATGTCAGTGCCTCTGTGGCTTTCTTTGATATACTAATATTGTTGATATGGTTCGATCTGCTACGGCAAAGTCTGCGACTAGTGATGTTTTTATTCTCTGATGGGTTAATTAAGCATTTGATTTTCTTCTGCAAATCCCCGTCCTTTCTATTTGCACCTTTGTCAGATTGAAGTCAATGCTTTCATCTCTTTGTCATGTTTCTCTGTGAACACTGTGTATTTAGCGAATAGCTCTTAGCCAACAATCAACCACAATAATAAAAGCACCGGCAGATGAAGTGAATACTTCTGATCATCTTTTGAAGGACGTAGTTCTGCGGGGGAACCCCTAACATTCATGTGGATGGTAGTTTAACAGGCACTGCCTACCTCAGCAATGCAGCCAAACAGCACACCTTTATGGGGCATTCCTCAGTCACAGGAGAGTGCACCCTACCAGGAAAACAAAGGCTAAAATCCAAGGATGTCATCTCATCTATCCAGCCTAACCACTGTATACTCTGTATGTCTTCTAATGTGCATTTTAGGACATGTTACCAACTTTTAGATCATACTGTCAGGGAGCTGGGTCCGTGACTCAGCATTTACAGTTAGGTTGTATTTTTGATTTCTTATGTTATATAGAAAGAATTTGAAGTTCTGGTGTTATTATTAGTTAGTCAGTGTTACCATCCATGCTCCCTGGTTTATTTGTCATGTTTCCTGTCCATTCTGTCATGTGTTTCATGTGTGTGTGTGTCCATGTTGTCAAGCTTGTGTGTCATGTCTACGTTCTATTATGTTTCCTGTTATATTTTGAAAGTCTTGTGTTCCCATGGTCAGTGTGTTTAGGTCAGGTTTTGTTATTTGGGTTACATGTGCTGGAAGACTGAGTCAGCTGAGTGCCAGAGTTTCTTCTCAATCAAATACAATTCAAAAACGCATTAAAGAGCTCTGTCTGTGAAAAAGCATTTTTTAAAGCAAACTATTCTGCATGCTAGGTGAAAAAAATGTGACAATTAATGTGACAGAAAATCCATTTTAATGTGACGGGGAATTTACCACTTAGACAGTCTGACCATTAGGGATTTTACAGGCTGAGTAAAAAAGGGGAAAAATACATAGTTTCAAGTTAATGCCAAAATACGCTTTATCAGAAATGTCATACAAATAGCACAAACTGAAGCACTTCCTCTGGGGTGAGTAAAGACCTTGAATGAGGCTTACCAGGGCAACAGGGACCATAGAAGGGGGATTTGGCACATGCGCACAACACACACTAAAACCGAGCACCAACGTACTGCATAATAAAGGTCAAGCTATTACTGGTCAACAGCAGGCAGTCCTGTTCAGCAAAGAGGAAAAATGAAAGCGTGTAAAATTACTGTCAGCTGGATTTAGTTAATGTCAGCTTGGCTTAATATTCATGATACTCAACTATTATGATGAAAGCAACAAAAATATTTGGACTTCAACCAATATACAAGCTTGTTGGGGCCCTAACAAAACATCTGCATGGGGGCTCCAGCATTGGTTGGTCCAACCATTGTTTAATGTAGAGGCTAAGCCTATGCTTGTAGCCACTGAGGTGTTTAGTGGCCAGTTTGACGCGATGCCACTGTTATGAATGAAAACCCAATAACTCAAGTGTTGCTTATCCTGTCAGCTTAAGCATGCATTGCTCACCATTGATTGCATTTGCTGTTCCACAGTTCACCTTAATATCCAACATTATCCAACATAAATCACAACAGCACAGCGGTCACAAACTGTTTGGTCCCTCCAAACAACAATAGAATAGAATAGAATAGCTTTTTATTGTCACTGTTACAAGAACAATGAAAGGCAGTTTGGCATTTCTCCACGTGTGTGAAGTACACAATAGCGTAAGTATTTACACAATAACAGACAAATTTACATTTACACAAGAAGATATGTAAAAGTTATACATACACCTGCAAACATACACGCACATACACAAATATATATATATGTGTGTATATATACATATATGCATCCGTACATGCCTACACACACATATTTCCACATACACGCTTACATCTATATACATACACATACATGCCATCTAAGTAGCAGGTGCATTGAGAGGTGCAGTGTGATCAGTGAGTGTCCAGGGTGCGAGAGGTCTTTGATGATGATGCTGGCTTTCTGCTGAAGTCTGCCAGTATAGATGTCTCTGAGGGGGGTTAGTGAGGTGCCGATTGCCCGCTCTGCTGCCCTCATCACCCGCTGCAGTTTCCTCTTGTCCTCCACGGTGCAGCAGTTGAACCAGAGTATGCAGCAGTAAGTCAGAAGGCTCTCGATGGTGGAGCGGTAGAAGTTTACTAGCAGTCTTTGGGGTAATTGGGCCTGACGTAGTTTCCTGAGGAAGTACAGCCTTTGTTGTGCTTTCCCTACCTGGTGGGAGATGTTTGTGGACCAGGTAAGGTCGGCCGAGATGTGGACTCCGAGGAACTTAAAGCTTTCTACCCTTTCTACCTCCTCCCCATCAATGTAGAAGGTAGAGTGCCCAGATCGCTTTGTTCTTCTGCAGTCGATTACATCTCCTTGGTCTTGGCTGTGTTCAGATGCAGGTTGTTGTCGTCACACCATTGGTTCAGATGCTGAACCTGCTCTCTGTAGGCTGAATCATTGTCGATCAGTCCTATGATGGTGGTGTCATCAGCAAATTTTATAATGGTGTTACTGGTGTGGATTGGTGAACAGTCATGGGCGAAAAGTGAGTATAATTACACCCTAATTAAATCGAATTAAATCGAATTAAATCACCCTAATTAAATCCTTAAATACAACCTTTACAAACACAAAAAGCAAAACTTAGCGACACACATAAGGTAATAAACAGACCATGTATAAAACACACATATACAAATATATTAAAAGTGTTGTTAGTCTGTCTTAGTTCCAGCTGTGTTCCCACCTTCTGCCCATCCTCTCGTTATCCTGTGTGTATTTTAGTCCTTGGTCTCTTTCCCTGGACTCTGTAGTTTCCATGTTATCTAGTTTCCAGTACCCAGTTTCTTCCTTGTTAGAGTTTTTATTATTTTATTTTATTTTTATTTAGTTTGAGTTTCCAAGTTGAGCAATAAAGCTGGCTTCTTAAGTTCATTCCGTTGTCTCAGAGGCCATATCTGACACCAAGTGCCACTAACCCATCCTCTCTTACCTGGCAGTCCTCAGGTCCACTGCTTGCTTGCCTGCCTTGTCTGGTGGAAAACCTCTGACATGAGAAACACAGAGAATCCACAAAATAAACTTGGCACACAATGACAAGCTGTGTAGATCCAAGGAGAAGCAGCAATGGCCACATTAAAAAAACAAAGCTGTTATTGTGCAAATTTCAAGTAGAACCAGACAAAACTAACTCTGTGTAATGAAGCAACCTGTGAAACCAGATTGAGGAAAGAGTAACAAAGCAACACCAGCCAAAGAAAGACAAAATAAAAATGAAATACTTCTACTTCTTCTTCTACTTCTACACTACTGTGCTTAAAATGTCATGGGTGCAACCACAAGCCAGCCATAGTATGTCGGTGAACGCACTTGTTACAACACCTCAGGCACTTGTGACAGACAGAGACTTAAATAAATAAACAAATAACTTTATCACAGCTGAAGGGCTGCCTGTCTGCTTCAGCTGGGAAAAGGCCAGTGTTGTGCTTTTTTAACCTTTTTTTTAGTCTTTGTTTATATAGGTAAACAGACTTTAGGCAACATGATTTATAGTTACATATAAAATAATGACCTACATATTTTATCTATATTATAATAAATCCAGTTGATTTTGACTGTTTGCAGTAACTTTATAGAATTATAATATTTTCTTTGCTGCGTTTTTTTTGCCCGACCTCTCCAAAAAACCCAGACATTTTAAATGTTAATGAGACATTTAACCTAGAAAAATAAAGATATATAAAAGTCACTTGCCAAAAAGTGACTGCAGTATTTACTTTGTGATGGGAATATTTTTTCTGGCTGATCACAGGGAGCACACCAGCTCTGGGACAAGCAAATTAGGCGAATGAGTGAGGGAGGGGGAAACCTACCTGATTATAGCCCAGAGAAATGCTTCTCAGTAACTCACAGGTGAGCAAGCTCCAGCAAACAGTGAGGTGAACAAAATGGACATGTGACCTGATCGACTATGGTAAGTTAAAAAAAAAAACTAAAGAAGTCTTTCAAACATCCAGTAACTATAGATTTGATAGATTTGTTTTTGGTGACCATCTTTATTACCACTAAAGTCACATGGTGTGGGTAAAGGTTGAAGAGAGCTATTAACACTCAGCTGCAGCACAGATGAGCATTAATAAAGGAGCATTAAAATTCGGCTGTCGTACACTGACATGTCTTTCACTTTATATTGTTAATTGACGCTGAGCCTGAGCTCCTATCTGTTTGTTTGCATCTCTGCACTGTGTGTATTTCAGTGCGTGTGAGTGTATGCTGGCCAGAGGTGACAGTGTGTTTCCTGTGAACTGACAGGGAGTTCGTCATCTCTCTTTGTAAATTTGTCACTTCTCTTCGTAAGCCGCATGAACTCAGCTCTGTCTGGAGAACAGTACAAAGGCGGGTGAGTAAACCCAACATTTTTGGCTCTTTGATGAGGTACTTGACAGGTCGTCATTTTGAGTTATGGCCAGCTGCCCTCCTGTTTTCCGAGCAGCCGCATTGCTCCTGATTCTCTGAAGACACATTGCACAGCCCTTCAAATAACACTGTTTGTGTGTGTGTGTGTGTGTGGACAAAATTCAAGGTGAGAACTTATGCTTTACGGGCGCTTAAAGGATTTTGTTGTAGAGGTGCTAACACAGGTTTTAGTCTGGAAGGACGCAAGGGAAAACACATAGCGACTGTCCTTGATTGAGTGGGGAATTATTCCGTCCATTAAGATACTAGAAGAGCACCAACTGATGTCAGTGCAATGTTTCTTTTGATTTTGACTTACACACGTCTGTTTTCCCAGCTCGTTAATCATTTCATCTGAACACACTGGAGTACTTCTAACCTTTTGTTTCTTCATCTCTTCTTAGGTTTGTCTACGATGGAGGCTACGGCCAAGTTTGACTTTGAAGCTAAAGCGGAGGATGACCTGAGCTTCAAAAGAGGAGACTGTTTGAAAGTAAGGATCACACACACACAGAGACATGCAAACACTTCCTTGGTTTGTTTTTAGCAACATCGCTTTTCACAAAAGTCATAAAAAGTTGTCAGCATACAAAAACATTCAAATGACCGATTTTATATATATGTTGAGTATAAAGCAGAGTATTTCCATGTAGATTAGTGTTTTATCACTCTTGTGTAACAATGGTGCACTGTACTATTCTCTGAAGCGCTCTTCAGCTCTCTGTGCAGCCAACCACGACTGCATCCTGCTGCTTAAGTCCGAGTTTCCTTCCTGTTTACATTGCCATTGCAACAAAATCTTTATATCTTCTTGACAGAATCACAAAGTAAAATCATATAGCAGAGGTGAACGCACAGATAACATCAAACTAGCAGACAAACAGCTACAATGACTCGATGCAGCTTTCACACATCGCTTTTGTTAACTCAGCACCTTGCTGAAGCATTAGTTCATGTATATACACCTGCAAACTTAATTTGGGTGCTTTATTGTTATAATACGTTTCAAACTATGTGAACAATGGAAAAACATTTCGATGTTGTTCCGGTGTAAACCTCTCAGAAAAGCTGTTAAAAGTGAGGTCTCCTGTAAAAAGGTGTTGGTTTTTGTAACCCGCTGCAGGGCGAGCTAATTTTATTTGTGCACTGCAGCATTTAGCTCATGTAAATCCACTGCACCCGGCATTAAAACACTTCCATCGGTGTATTGGTGTATAGCAGGTGGATATACACAAAAGGTATACAAGGAAATGGATCAGCAAAAACTCAGCCTCTAAATAACTCTCACAAACACCCACAGCTATCTCACACAGGCAAACCACAACACACACACACACAGAACTAATCATAACTGAGAGAAAAAATATTCTCAGTTTCTACAGTGTAGGCCATCTGGTACTTTGGCCTAGAAAATGGCTTAAAAGGATCCATCTATATCTATATCTATATCTATAAACACTACTATAAAGCTTTACTGGAACACTTGAACATTACAGTAAAACACAAAGTCTCTACATAATCATGCATCTTCAGGGTAACTTAAAGCACGGTTAGTGCACGTGACAGTGACAACCAATACACTTGAAGAAGTAACAAGACAGCCCCCAAATAAAATGGTTTTGCAGGCGATTTCTCCGTAGATCCCCTGAATTTTCCTAGAGTTTTGCCTTTTTATTCGTTTCCTTGTCACTGCTGATAGCACCAGACAACACCTGCAGCACATTCAGGTTGTACATGTAGTCTGACTCTTACAGAAGGGAAGTGTTGCTGTGTCTTCCAGCACAGTCTCAGGAGTGTAGAAGGAGATACAAGGAGACAGGCTGTTACACGAGGACAGTGTTGGACAAGTTACTTGAAAAAAGTAATTAGTTACTAATTACTGATTACTTATCCAAGAGGGTAATCCTGTTACTTTACTGATTATTTATTTTCCAAAGTAATTAGTTACGTTATTACTTAGTTACTTTAAAAAAACATGATACACAACCTGAACATGTTATAAAGCAATAGACCTTTCAGACCAATTCTATTTTTTCTATATAGTCCATGATATAAAATTGAATCAAATAAATGTCTCCTTTTAAAACTTTTTTATTAGTTTAATCTTTAAATTTATGCACATTGCATCAAGCAATGTGCATAAAAATATGCATGTAAATATTCCAGCATATAAGATAAAACAATGTTTTGTGTTTACACTCACTTTTTCCAACAGACTCAATTAAAACACAACAAAAAATAAACAAAATCGAAGATTCAGCCGCACTGAGTCCTGTTGCTCTTAAATCTATTTTCACCTGTTTAGCAGCAGTGGGGCGGGTGGAGGCTGCAGCGATCATGTCAGTGGGGGGATCTGGGGGTTTCTCTGGGAATTTCACATTCCCATGGCGGCTTGCTAGGTACTTGCTCTGATTTGAAGTTAAATTTTTTGCTGTAGAAAAGTTTTTTCCCACACAGAGTGTACAGCTAATGTTAATGTTTTTGTCACTTTTTACAGAATCAAACTCAAAGTAATGTCAGTACTTCCAAGCTTTAAACGCTGCATGGTTGTTCTCTCTCACACACTCCATATAATCCATTGTTGATCTGTTGCTGCCACAGACGTCACATGCTCGTATGTCATTTTCATGAGACACTCTCACAAACAAAATCATGATTAAGTAATGCATGCAATAGTAATCCCTTACTTTACTCGTTAATAGGATTACAGTTACTGCCCATCTCTGCACAGGAAGATCTGAATAGGGTCACAGAAGGGCATCAGCCCAGCAGTACGACCCTTATGTGCTCCTTTCTGTGAGGCGCAACAGGAGGACAGTAGTGTTTTTTGATACGGGCAACATGGGCGGTTGCCCGGGGTGGCATCGTGGTGGGTGCGGCATCATGGGCGGCACCGATCGGTGTTCTCACTGCCATTTGCGCGGAGTAAGGACGCCCTCCGTTTGTGAGGAGCTGCTGAAGTCAAAGTAAACTTTATTGTCATCTCCGCTATATACAGTAAGTATATAGAGAGACGAGATGACGAGGCTTCAGTTACAGCAGTGCAAGTAAAGAAAAAATAAATATAAGAAGAGTAAGAAAATAAATATACACTTTAGGACCAGGGGTAAAGGGATCAATAAGAATTTAAAGTTTATAATTTACAGTTTGATGATTTAAAGTCTCACACACAACCTGTCGGTAGGGGAGGGGGACCGGCTGCTTCCAAATAGAGCATATTTCATTCATAATGTTGTAAATCCAAGCCCATTATGTATTCATGATTTGAATCCTGGGTTGTGCAAAATCCCAAAAATAAACCCTAGACAAAGTGAATCTGGGAACTAAGGTGTAGGTCCATTAGGTTATGTTGTGGTGATCCTCGGGTTGGGGGATGGGTGTTCATACTGGATTGCAAAATTAAAACCAATGGAAGACGGAAAAGAAAAGTTCAAAGCCATCAGGTTTTCAGTTTAGAAAAAAGAGAAAAGAAGACGAGGAGAAATTAGCAAAAGATACAGGTAAGCAGATGTGTCACTGGATAATGGCAGGTCATCCTGAAACAATCAGAATCATATTAAGAATATTTTATTAATCCCTAAGGAAATTATGTGGGTTACAGTTGCTCCAAGAAGAAATGGTAAAAGTAGTAACAGTAACAGACTAAACTCCAAACAACACATTATGTTACAGATTTTACACATTTAAGAAATTAGCACTAATATATCAGATCACTCAATTATAAATATCAATTCAAATGTCAACTGGTTGTTGACATTTGAATAAATGTCAACAACCAGTGTTTCCCAGCAGAATCATTAATGTTCACATCACCTGTCAGTGAATTTAAGCTTGTGGCTGATTGGTGGACATGTGTGCATGCTGATGCACAGAGATCAGGCATTGCTCCGGGTGGGAGTGGCTGTTTCACCATTTTAACATACTTCATTTTGGCATAATTAGAGTTATTATTTTTTATTTTATACTATGTGGCTTTTGTATGTTTGTCATATTAATTTTATCATTAAGTAAATTAGTTTAAATGTTTAATAATAGACAATATGTGAAAATGTTTCTGATCACTTTTTTTATTTTTCCCCCCAAAATACAAATTATTCAAATTGTTATGTATTTAATGTACCTAATAAGGTCATAATAAAATAATGCGATATTTAGAATCCCTATATATTATTCCCTATTGCCTGTGTGTTGTCAATACTAACAATGGCAGTAAAAAACATAGATTTCAACAGCTTTATGGAGAATTATTATTACTTTGACCTTCAGACCAATCTATTAGCCTTAAAGGAAAGGTCAGAGGTCAAATCCTTATATCGTACTTTCTATATGTTGGCAATAAACACCACTTGTAATAATCATAGTGTTTTTAAGTAATAAGACTTTTTGTTTATTTTTGACCAATAAATCATGATGCTGGCCTCACAGACAGATTTTAATGGATCGTTAACATGATCTGACTGTTTTCATGTATGTGTGTTGTGTGATTGTGTAAATTAGATTCTGCAAACATCTGGGAACTGGTACAGAGCAGAGCACAACGGAGCTATGGGCTTTGTCCCAAAAAACTATATCGACATTCACATCCCCAGGTAAAACCATGTTTTCATATGGGTTTTTTTTCCCAAATTAACCTCCTTCTAGCTTCTGTATTTACGTATTTACACCTGTTAATAATTTCAAAGTACTGACTATGTAGCTGACTTACATTTACTTATTTTGCTTACTTACTTTGGCATGTGATCACTTTATCCTATATTGTTTCTTGCCTGCAAATTATGCATTTTTACCACCTCAGCTCCTTCAGCACCATCAGGTTTTGTGTCACTGCTTGAACTTTATGTTTCCTGCTCCCCATCTCCTACGTCTGTTCTCCCCTGTCTCCTTAATAACTCCAGCTGGTATCAGGAAAACACCAGTCGCACTGACGCCCAGGAGATACTGATGTCACAGCCCGTGGGGGCCTTTCTCATACGAAGCAGCCGAAAACCAGCTCCAGGCGACTTCTCCATCTCTGTCAGGTGCATTTAGCATGTTTGAGTTTGCAGGTTATCTTTACCCCACTAACTAAAAATCGTGTATTCAGACTGATTAATCTATGTGCCTAACAACTGCTAACAGCTAGACTATTAACATTTGCAATTCTGTGCCAACTCTACACGTTTACTGTTCTTCCATTTCACAAACATTATATATATCTAACAGTGTGCAGTGTAGTTTAAAAGAGGCAAATGTTTCTTCAAATGGAGTCACACAGGGTCACTGTGAGGGGGAGCGTCGCCCACTGGTGGTGCCTTTCATGTAGGAATGTAGTGACTCAGCCTTTGTCTGGGGTTTCCACAGAGCTCCTATCTTTCCAGTTTTTGGAGAAATACCTCACATATTTAACACGCCTTCTCCCCTTTGCAAGACATGACATGTAGTCTTGTATTTAGGGTGAAGAAATTACAGTAGACATGAATGGCTCGCTTTTGTCTATAGTGATTATCATGTTGGCTTCCAGTACAGCAATTTACACAGTGTGTGTGTGTGTGTGTTTATTTTTTGTCCCGCACCTTTATTTTGCTTTGCATGTGCACTGCTCACCATTTAATTTTGTTCTTCTCGGAATTCTTTTTTTGTCGGTGTTTCTCACCGTCACACAGTTGTGGGCAAGAGTAAGTATGAATATGTGCTAATTAAGAGTCAACCACTTCCTTCAGACGATTCACTTTCGTTCTTTCTCTAAAACTTACCTGCTTGCAGCAGTCTGATATTGATGAGCTAATCTTTTAAGGTCCAGACCGATACTACTAAAATGATGAATACCTGAGGCATTCAAATTTTATATTGAAACAAAACTTGTCTTTAAGGTCTTTTTTGTATAGGTTGATCAATGTTTTCTCTTTCACTGCACTGTTGAGTGCTGATGCAATATAGTAGCAGCATATATTTGTGTGTGTGTGTGCGTGTGTGTGAGTGCGAGTGTGTCAGCGTGTGTGTGTGTGCATGCATGCATGTCTGTGCTCTAAATTGTTAATCAGACAACAGCGAACCCTCTGAGCAAATGATTGAATATTTAATTTTGAAATAAATTCTTTATGTAACTATTATAATTATAATTACAATTATAAAGATGTTTCATCTTTTAGATTTGCATACATTGTTTTATTCACCTCATCTACCTGTCTCCCTCTGTGTGGCTAGTTGCTGCAATGAGATAGTGGCTGTTTGTTTGAGGACAAAAGAAAAAAAATACTCTGGCCTAATTACAAAGTAGTAGTTTCCTTTATGTGTGAGGGACACTCACCAGCTGCTGGATAAGTTTTAACTAGCTGATACCAGGTTGAAATTTTGCCTTCTGAATGGACAAAGTGTTGGAAACATTCAAAGTTTTTCACTTACACTGACACAATAGCACAGTTGCTGTACATTTCTTGGCTGCACTTCCATGATGTGAATCTCCCTTTCCACCACTTGCCAAAGATGCTCTGCTAGGTTGAACTCTGGTGACTGTGGAGGCCATTTTAGTACAGTGAACGCACTGTCATGTTCAAGAAACCAGTGCGTGATGATTTCATGGCGTGTTATTCTGCTTGAAGCACTCGTCAGAAAATGGGTACACTATGGTCATAAAAGGATGGATATGGTCAGGAACAATACTCAGACAGGCTGCCTGGTGTGGTCTTCTGCTGCTGTAGCCCATATGTTTCATGGTTTAATGACTTCTGTGCTCAGAGACATTCTGGTCATAAGTGGTTATTTGAGTTACTGTTGCCTTCCTAATAGCTTGGAGCTCCTCTCCACCCAGAGAACAGCAGCTCACTGGATTCTTTCTCTTTTTCAGAACATTTTCTGTAAATGCTAGAGATGCACACCAACGATCATGCCATGTTCAAAGTGACATAAATCCCATTTCTTCCCCATTCTGATCCTCAGAACAGCAGCAGGTTGTTTTAATCATGTCTAATTGCTTAAATACTTTCTGCTGCGGCACTGTGATTGACTGAAAAGATACTTGTACTAATGAGCAGATGAATAGGAGTACCTAATAAAATGGCTGGTGAGGGTATAACAGCACAATGTCTCACATTTTTTTAAGGATGGAACAAACATAAGTAGTCATTGTAGTCATCAATTAAGTCATTGTAGTACATGGAATGAAATACGGAAATGCAGATAAAAAGGATCCTACTTTTCATCTTATACCCTTTTAGACATCCAGCAGATGTTCAGCACTTCAGGGTGATGCGTGACAGCAGAGGGCAGTACTACCTGTGGTCAGAAAAGTTTCCCTCACTCAATCAGCTGGTGGAATACTATAAAAAAAAATCCATCTCCAAACAGAGTCTACTATTGCTCAAAGAGACGCAAAAAGAGGTAAGGGCTAAAGATTGAAACCTGCCTGAAAACGTATACAGTCATTGTGTCATTATTAGTGCTGTCACTATCTGGTGCTGTCAGTGGATTTAACAGGAGTCACAGAATGACAAGGTAGCCATAAGGGAAACGCTAACGTGACTTGTTTATGCCCCAACAGGAAAGAGGAGACTCAAATAAGCTTCTACCTCCTCATCCTATTTTTCCACGTTCTGACCGTGCGCCTTCTCCAGCACCACGACAGGTACACAACTCTGTGCGTAAGTCTGTGGTTACACTGATGACTGTGGACTTGCGATCTGTGAAATGTGTGTAAGATACAGTGTCTCCCTGTCCATATAGACTGTGTGACTGTACAGTTTCAGTTTCAGGCATGCATGCACAACTTTTAGTCAGAGTAGTTAAGTCTTTGACCTTTGATTTGCTGTACACTTTTATGTAAATGCCAACTTCTAAGGAGCCTAGAATAACAATTATAATAAGCCCCAGTGGGCATTTTTAAATTACATTTGGCTCTTCTTTGCCCAAATTCAGACAGGTCTGTCTCTTTAAATCTCTGCACATAGTAAATAAAACTTTGAAAATTGGGCTGAAAATTAGCCAGTGACAGTGAGCTGATAACATATAGAGTACTGATAAGTTTCTATCTTCCTCTGTTGTATCTAGCGCAAAACCTCCCACACAACGCAGGTCAGAGCCCTTTACGATTTCAAGGCAGAAGAGGCGGACGAGCTGGAGTTCAGTGCAGGGGATATCATTGAGGTTTTGGAGGTCTCTGACCAGACCTGGTGGAAAGGTCAGTTAAGGGGCAAAAAAGGCCTTTTCCCCTCCAACTACACCAAACCCATCTGAGAGGACGGCCCACAGGCAAACATCTGTAAAACTACTGCAACTTTTTTAGTCAAACATCTAATGCTGGTTTTGTTTGTGTTTTTGAGATTAAATTTCAAACTTAGAGCAACTCAAAACTGCTAGCAGGAAAAGGCTCACCAATACACCAAGCATGCGAGACTTTAATTTTCATCATGTCAAGGATAGCGTTCATGTTTGTCATTGACAAGACATAAAAAGCCCAAGTCAAGATAAAAACATGTTTTTTTCTGTTTTTTAATGAAAAAGTATTTCATGTATACCTAATGCTATTATTTCTGAGAGAAATCATCCATTTACAAATGCATTTTACGCATGATAAGTGTCACCGCATGAATGCTACTCTGTAAACTTTTTTTTGTCAGCCTTATGATTAAGTTTGTTGTACTTTTTGATCACATCGTGGTGTTGGATTCCTAACAAGGCCCACGTTTTAGTACTGTAATTTATGAACTTTTGAAGTTGTTGCTGATTGCTCAGACTCCACACAACAAAAAGGTATTGTGCAGACATATCATAAGTAAACCATCCAGAGGGTTCAGTCATGTGTGTGTCCATGTCTGAAAAGTAATAAAAGCATTTTAGGACACTCTGAAGTCTAAAAGTAAAAGTTATTGTGTGTCATGTCCCATATACTAATAATAAAGCAGATCTATATTCCAGTATTTCAGTATTCGGTTGTGACCAGAGTATTTTAAGAACAACACAAATGTGTTTTAGACATTCTCAAAATAGACCCTAGAAGTTGTTTCACTTTATTTAGGGCATATGACACTGCTTATCTTGTTTGGCCCACATATAAAGTGCGTGTTTGTTCGGTTTATTACCTGGGCTGACCTTATCAAGGCTGCTAAGAAAGAAAAGAAAACTCCCAGTAGCTTCAGAGTACGTGTTTCTATAGCTCTCGGGACAAACGTGTGCTGCATTCAATGTCTGTGTGTAATTTGGTCAATCTGACTGAAAGCAGAAATCTTTTCATTCTCATTTTTAAATTTAAAAATGTATATTATTAATCATATTCATTTCTAAGACTCTCTGGATGTGTTTTGGCATGATTTGGGCCTCCACAATGAAAATTCCAAAACGAAAGTTACACAAAGGTTTTCACAGACGTTAACGCCCATTGCAGTGCGTCGTCTTCATCATTCCAATGGCAAGTGAAGAGTCCAAAGTCTCGGCTCAATCTCGGTGAGAATTCCGGTCAGGTGAGAAAAGTTTCCCAGTTTTATTGTAGTCTACCTGTATGTAGGTGTCACTCAGCAAACCCTGCTCGGGGTTAAGAAAGTTTCTGACCTTTATTGGTGCTAACCGCGAAAGCCACCATGGCCGAATCCCAGCTCACGGTTATGGAGGACGGGCGCATAGGAGTCAAAGTCCCGGAGACCAAGCCGGAGTTTTACTATAGTGAAGAGCAGCGAACCGCTGTAGAACTGCTGCTGAAGGAGGGCGATGGCGCCTTCAAAACAAGACTTAAAGAGGACAATACGAAGGACTTTCTGTCTGCCAGGGAAGTCAAGCTATTAACGAACACTTTCAGACCGTACGACTCAGGGGATGACAGCAAGGCATCCACCTCCGGGTCGGAGCAGGGCGCCACCGGCACCGATGCGGATTCAGGGGTCCACTCCACCTATTGGCCCCAGATGTCGGACACAGAGGTGCCGCCGCTGGATATCGGGTGGCCCAGCGGGGCTTATTTCAAAGGGGTGACCCGGGTTTCCGTGCACACACACCCGCCCAAAGACAACGGACCGCACATTAAGGAGGTGGTGCGACGGCTCATCCAAGAGGCTAGCAAGGTGAGGCGTGTGGGTCCGATTCAACCCGTTTAAAAGTTTATGGCTAATAACGGGCATCCTTATAAATTCATAACGATCATAGTCTTATGTCAGCCTATGATAGTACTTTAAATACAACCAGTAACATGGGCAATACTAAAAATGTGGAGTACATTTACGACAATTAATCACATTTCTGCTAATAGGTAGTTAGTCGGTAAAGATTAATTGCCTGTTAGAAGACGAGTGTCCAATGCTGCAAGTTTTGGTATCGATCAGATACCAGAATTTGGTAAGCCACAGGGCTGATACCAATACTTGAACATTGAACATGTAGCGAAGAGCAATGTATAATTATGAGAGATGTCAGTTTTTTGGTTCTGTTCTAGATCTGGAAAAAGGAAAAAGAGTCAAGCAGGTTCAGAATGCAGAGCTCAAAGGGCTAGTTCGGTTATGGCTGTAGACATGATTTATTTTTTCTTTTAGTTAGTTTTTTATTTTAAAAAGATAATTTGGCTTGCAAACTATGATCATACGAAAATACCCAAATGAGACTGAGAATAGGTGGAGGGCGGGAATAGTGCAGGTGATTGTTTGCTGTGATTGGCAGTAGCTAATGCAAAATTGACATTAATAATACATACACAAACATAGGTGGATAGTAACTGTGTAACAAATGGATCCAGGGTGCTCTAACAACCTCCAGCACTTGTGTATGTTTTTCATCAGATAGACTGCAGGAATTTGTTCTAGTTAAACAGGCTCTGTGTGGGAAACTTTAAAGCTTTTATTTAAAATGAGGGCTCAGAATCATGAAACTCAAGCCCGGTAAAGAAATGTGAAACCACTGTCCACGCTCTTTTTTTTGTAGTGTGATAAAACTACAAGGCTGCTGCTCTTTGCAGTGTCCCGTAGATCTAGCTCCACAGGGGTCAGGGAGGGGGGAACACCAGTTTGAGTGATTAATTGCTCCTCACATAGCAACTAAAGGCTTGAAGTGGGTCTTTAAATGTGAGTTGGTGATAGTCATGTTTACTCATAGGGTGCCGGATCTACGCTGAGTCATCTGTTCCGTGCTCAGTCTACAATGCAGTGACAGGCTTTGCTGTGCACTCGCTTCCTTAGTATTTCTCTTTAAAAGTGGGTCAGGGAGGGCTGCAGGAACATGTCACATAATCGTCCTGGGTTTTGTGACTTGTGCAACTTTTCTCAGCTTTTCTTTGAAATTCCCGGTTTTTCCTTTTCACAACACCCCTTTCCTTCTTCCTGGGTACAGATCAGGTAGTGGAGGTAGTAAAAACAGGATCTCTGGCTCTTAACAGAATGACACACTGCCTTGTTTCCTGGTTGCCCTGCCTACTGTTCTTTCATTTGATAAAGTAAGACATTGTTTAGTAGTTCACTCCCTCTTTTCACAATTTGCCATACCGAGACCTTTGAGTGTTTTCCAAACTTGGCAGATCAAGAAGACAAACAGTTAAACAGTAGGTGCTTTAGGATTGGTGTACATGAGCAAAAAGTACATAAAAAAGACAAGCAAAAATAGCACTCAAAATAACACATGTTGACCAACCAGTTCTTCAGGTACTAACTTGTTTGCATGCGAACAGTGATTTAGTTTTTGGTTTTTATTTGTTTTAGTGATTCTTTCATTTTTCTTTCTGATGGGATGGTGATGATCTAGCTTTGATTCCTAACTGTCCTCAAGTCTCAGCCTGTATCTCTGCTGTTGAGCTTTCAGGTTGGCTCAGCATTTTTCTGTAGTGAGACCATGAGTGGAAACACCAGGCCTTTTCTGTCTAACAGAGGAACATTTGTTGCAGATTTAAAGATACATTTTTTCCATGACTTTGCTTTTCAAGGACGACGAAACAGTCAAATAATAAACATTTCCATACTCTCCACCTCTGCCTTGCACGTAACATGTCCATTCATGTTTGAAAGGACCGTGTCTTGTTTTTTGCCCTCCCTTGGGCTGTGTGGACTTTACATAAAACTTGTGGTTTAGTATGGTGCCTTTATGTGTTTTTCTCATAAATCTGACTCAACAGTGATTATGTTGTACTGATTTATTCAGAGGCAGAATCAGAATTGGGTTTAATGGCCAAGTTTGTGTACACATACAAGAAATTAGGCTCCACTTTTTTTCTTGCTCTCAGTGTAAACAGAACAGGCAGGGCAGACAACAGCAACGTGACACAGGCATATTCATATATGCTGAATAAATTATGGAATAACGGCTATTGTATAATATACACGCAGATGTCTGGTTGCTTTGGTATACAGTGTTCTGTAGCACCTACCAGGGGGCAGGAGTTGGAACAGGTTGTGTACAGGGTGTGATGGGTCTGCAACCGAGGATTTGCAGGATCTAGTGTAGACCTATATTGATGGTATTGTCCACTGACCTGTTTGACTGGAAAGCAAACTGCAGAAGGTCGATTCCACTAGTTGACCTTCTGCAGATTGTGATGTCCTGCAGGTATGTTAACACCAGGGTGACAGCTCTACAGCATTTAACCAAGGGGGTTTCTTGGAGACAGCGATGACTGGAGTGCTTGAAACAGCAGGGGACTGCATATAGCTCCAGGGATCTGTTTAAGGTCAGTGTAAAGATGGGGGCTAGCTGGTCAGTGCAGACTTTGAGGCCAGAGGGAGACGCACAGTTTAGGGCTGGTGCCCTTCTGGTCTCATGAGTTGGTCAGGTGTTAGAAAGGATGGGTAAGGGGCTGGCACGGGGGAGTTGGTTGTGTGATGTGGCGGGAGAGGGTGAAGGGTGTAAAGGTAGGATTGTTACACCTGAATAAACACATGCAGGTCCCCTGTCATCTGTAGTTGGTGGTATCCTGGAGACCCACACCGACACAAGGTCATTGGCTGAAACCTTTTTTTTTTTTTTCTGTATATCATGTTCACGTCGATATAAATGTGAAATGTACATGGTGTAATTATTTAGCCTTTTTTTCAATGAACTGTTAGTAGTTGGGGTTTTTTTTCTATTGTGGCACTCTGTCTTCCTTCTTTGTGTTTGAGTGTGTGCATTTTTCCTCCATTGAATTAAAATATGTTTAATGGGACAGTACCATTATAAAATAATAATGTATTCACTTTTCAGATGTTACTGATACTTACTCAATGTCATTTTTTTATTTTGCTCACTTCATCCAAATAGTGCACAGATGACAAAATCAGCTTCACAAATGTTCTTTACCAAAACAAGTTTTATCCGATAAGGGGAATATCATTTTCTGTTTTAATTATGGCCTAACAAGAAAAGATTTTTTGAAAGGAAACTGTCCTTTTGATAACTGAGATCAAAGGTAAAACTTTATTGCAATCCTAAAATTAGTTTTAAAGTGTTTCGACACACTTCTGCAAACCATGATATGTACAACAATCACAATGTGTAATACGTCAAGGACTTTTATTGTGAAAAGAACTAACACAAACAAGAGGAAACCAGCAAATCTGGTTTCCTCTTGCCTTTAAGCCAGCTGCATTCAGATTGATTGTGGGTTGGTGGGGTTATCCCAGTGGCGGGGGGTACAGCTGTGTGCCTGAGATACCTGTATTATGGTAAATGGCCTGCATTTGTATAGCGCTTTACTTAGTCCCTAAGGACCCCAAAGCGCTGTACACTACATTCAGTCATTCACCCATTCACACACATATTCACACACTGGTGGTGGCAATCTACATTGTAGCCACAGCTGCCCTATTAGGGAAACTACCATCGAGAACATCTCTAAAAAAACAATGTTTGCTAGAAAATTCTGAGTGTTGTGTAATGTGTCCCTTTTTTCTGTTTGTTCTGTCTCTGTGTGACAGCAACACTGTTCAAGTCTGCTTGCTGCTAACCAGTTACCCACAGCCCTCCACCATCTTCAACTGGAGTTTTTGTTAATCCACAATATGAGAAACTCGGCTTAGAGACGGCTGGTCCTTGTATTCTTTGTTGTTAAAGAGTATATGGGGAGAGCATGATTTATTAATGTACTTAAGAAGGTTTACACGCTCCTCCTTTCACAAGCACAGAAAAGTCAGGGTTGGATAAACACTGAGCACTCTGAAGCCGGAGCTCACAGTGATTATACTTGCACATACACAGACTTCAGTTTTTTGGCTATGTTTTACATAAAAAGACACGCTTTAATGATTGATATGCAGATGTCAGGTGGCCTTTTAGTAACACCTTTTGCATTATAGGATGCATCATAGGAATTTAGCCTAAGGAAGACATTTCCAAATTGTGTTGAGCACAAAGCAATTAATTGTCTTAAGTGTCTTTTTCACTTTGATTCCTAGCTCAGCCTTAAGAATAGGAATATATCTGTAAGCACAATGTCAGATTAAGTCACTGTGTCAGCAGTTCATGCTGTGACCTGTCAGAGAAGATAATGCCCTCTGCACAGTATACTAACTAGTTACAGCTTGTCGCCTAAACTATGTGGGCTGTATGTAAATATTAAGCTGCCAAGAATTTCACTGTCACAGCCGCAACAACAACAACAATAAACACACGGTAGTCCTGTCGTCATAGTCCTTTGCAGGCAACGTAAACCAAAAGATTTATATATCATGTCAAATGAATCAGTTGAAACAATTGCAAGGCAGTAGTAACCCCAATGCCCTCAGTGTAAAATGTTAATGGACACAATAATGAACATGGCACATAACAACAAAATGTGACCATTGAATGTTGCTTGAAAACCATTAGAGAAACATAGAAACATTGTGCTATTAATAAATCCACTGGTCAGCTTGTTTTGTCTCTAAAACTATTTCCAGTTGAGGCGCACTCTGTCGCTGTGGGCAAACATGACAGGACGCGTTGAAGAACAAGACTTTTGTGATTCTGTACTAGTCACAAGGTGGTTTAGAGGATAGGTGTTCTGCCAGGATGTACCTCCTCAACTAATTCCAGCGTACTCACAGAACAGAAAGAGCTTTATGGGTCAGTGACAGACCTAAATTCCCCAGATGATCTTATTTTGTTGTTACAAGATTTTATCTGTGTGATCTGTCAGTCGGAGTGGAACACAGCCGGAGGATAACACAGTGGCTTCCCCCACTCTTATTGGACTAGCAGCTAAGACTCTTTCATAAGGCCCAGCAGTGCCTTCAAGGTTGGTGTATTAACAGGTGGCAAAGTGCTTCAGCTAGACCGATTAGCTTCACCTCATGGTTCCTTTGTTAGGTTTGTTGGAGTCATTCTGCCCTCAAGCAATGTACTGATTTTTGTCCCATCCTCCTATAGAGAGGTAACATGGAGGAGTAGCTGACAGTGAACTTAAGCTGAGATTCAGGTTTCTCAAATGTTGCAACACCTTTTTTCTCTCTGTGTTGCTGACTTGTTGGTGCACCTTTGTTTCTGCCAAGGGGTTATTAATTTAAAGTGCTGTAAGGGGTTAAAAGAATGTGTGGCAGTCTGTAACACAAAGATACAGACAAATTTTCATGCTCACATTCACTCCTATAGCCAATTTAGAATCATCAGTTATCCTCACATACTTTGGAGAGTGCTCCACACAGTCACGGTAAGAACCACCCATCTCCGCACTGAAATGTCCCAGCCGGCCGGCTTTGGAATTGAACTCAGGCCCTTCGGGTGCTGGATATAAAATACTAATGCTTATTTCTCCTGCAGGTGATCGCCATAGTAATGGACATCCTCACAGACATCCACATCCTACAGGACCTGATGGATGCAGCGTCACGTCGCATGGTGCCTGTTTACATTTTGTTGGATGAGCAAGGTGTGCCGCACTTCTTGGACATGTGCTCCAGGCTGCAGATTGGCTCACAACACCTTCGGGTAAGACTATACTTTTAGACAGTATATCAGCGACACAGAGAAAAATAATAACCTCATAATCTGAGCTTATTTTAAAGAGTTGCGTCTTCTAGTGTAGGTTCAGTTATTCAGAGGGTCATGGATTGTTTTATTGGTTTGTTTGTAACAGCACTATTGTTGCTTTTTTGGTTGTTTTTTCCTGGATAAATTAACTCAATAATTTGGTTCAGCTCAATAATTCATGTCACAACCAATAACCGTTGTCAAATATTGCCTAAACTGGAAGGGCAGTCTTGTAATCCCACAGTTATACATAGAAGTGTCCCATTAGTGAAATTATTAATTGTTTCCACTTATGTCTTGAACTCACACAAAATCAGTAACAGATTTGGAAAGGACACCTATTATAGAGCAATCAAGTGTATCCTTCTCCTCCATATTTAGCTGTAGGAGATTTTGGGGTTCAGGTGTAGCCAGGAGTTATCTCGAGAATGCACTTCGTTCAAGACGTAACTGGTTTCATGTGCTGATCAATAATTACTGTGTGATTATAAATGGAGATAAAATTTAAAAAGCTAACAAAAGGCTAAATCGTCACTCCCCAGTGGTTTTAAAATTAACTTTCAGCTGATGTGGCTCAATTGTCCTCTTCAGCTGATTGTATATCTGGATGTGGCCCAAGACCATCAAACTTGATTGGTCAAAAGTAGTAAAACGACTTGCTTAAAGATTGGACGATTGAATCAGTTGCTAGGATTGCTGAGCCACATATTTCGTAGGCAGCCAGTAGGAGGTTTGGGTGGACTGATTTTTAAGAGTATGGCTGTAAAAATCAAACTATGTGCTGCTTCCATCAAAAAGATTGTTAAACTGCCTGCGTCTTGACATTGTTGGTTATGTTCTCATCCTCATCCTGACCCTGTGTCGTTGCAGAACATCAGAGCCAGAACGCTTCAGGGAACTGGTTTCAATTTGTCGTTTGGTAGGCTGCCTGGTTCACTCTGTAATAAATACATGCTGGTAGATGGGGAGAAAGTTGTGTTCGGTTCCTACAGGTGAGGAGGAAATATTGTGCAAAATGTTCCATTAAACGTAATAATCTGAGTTTAAGTAATTTTATCTGCCACTATGTATAAGATTAGAGACTGATAACTTGGATTCCTTTTGTCAAATGATGTGAGTGAAAGACTCAGACTGTCTCTGAATACTTTCATCATTCTTGGATATAATTCTTCACTTTCTCTTTTAAGAGAGCAATAATCACTCTGATGCCATTTGTGTTCATTCTGTTTTAAGACTTACTGTAAAGACATGCTTGTGTCTCTTAATTGGCAGTTGTAGCAGCATTCTTGTAGCCATGCACGCTTAACATTTTAGTGGCTTCATTGTGCCATGACTTGCACTGAGTCATGTCGTACTGCATTAAAGTCTAACAAAGCACCAAGTGTAGCGCGATCTGGTCAGAAGAGACATGCAGCTAGATAAGTGGATAAGCAGGTGCTTATCCACTTATCTGAATACGGTTGATTTACTTTTGATTGTGTATACACACACACACACACACCTATCTATCTATCTATCTATCTATCTATCTATCTATCTATCTATCTATCTATCTATCTATCTATCTATCTATCTATCTATCTATCTATCTATCTATCTATCTATCTATTCTATTCAGCCAGTCAACCTAACTTGTCTGTCTTTCAGCTGTGATTCATGCCTCTGTAGATTATCTGCTGTGCTATTGTTCAGGCTGGTCTTTTCTAGCCTGAGTGCAAAATGTAGCTTTCGTTTTATCACAGGCTCCAGCAATAGCTCTGCTAAATTCTGTGTAGGATTGAGACATTAATTATTCTGTTTGTGTTTGGACTTTTGTAAATGATCTCTATAGGCAGCTTGTTATGCTAGCATGGGTGACCTCATTTTAGGGGAGTACATTTAGCGGTTGTTTAAATATTTTAACCTGGACAAAAAAGGTCATCTACTAACTTTGTTCTTGTAGCATGCTAATGATACTGCTAATGCTTTTAATCAGAAAAATGATGATCAAAGCCATAGGAATGTGGTTGTAGTCTGTTTGATACCTGCTTACTGTGCTAGAGACACGAAGATTTTCCATAGAGAATATGCTCGTTCCTAACTGTTAATGCTGTGTCCTCCCAGCTTCTCCTGGTGCACGTCTCGCATGGACCGAAACATGATCACTGTGATGACGGGACAGCCAGTCGACTTCTTTGACCGGGACTTCCGTGAGCTGTATGCCATCTCTGAGAAAATGAACCTCTACAAAGAGTTTCATGTCAGCCCTCCTGCTGCCCAGGTGGCCTCCACTGTTCGCTCTAAACCGAGTACCAAACGCCCGCCATTAGCAGCAACCACATCCCGCTTCCAGGTTAGCTTAGGGGATTCACGGAATAATGAAATCCAGGTCCCAGCACACAAATATTACAACCCTAAATACGCACTAGCGTTTGGGGATACTCCCCGTCCAACAGGATCTCTGCGCGAACCCAAGAGGGGTTCAGGTCTGGCTGAGGTTCCCGAGGAGGCAGATTCGGGGAGCCCACGGTTGGCCAGCAGCGAGAAGATGGATCGATTGAGTCCGCTGCCGGCAGAATCCTCAGGCGAAAGCTTCAAGAGGACAAATGGAGTCAAGTCAGACATAAAAAGCCGTCCCACACTAAGGCAGAGACTTTTTAAGAGGAAATCCCAGAATAAACTTCCTGTTAACACAGAACCTGTACCCCCAGAAACTAAACAGGATGAGGAGAATGAGGATAACTGCGAAGCGGTTGTGTTATCTCCATCCAAAGTTAGTAAGAAGCCGTCTAGACTGGGACGGAAGTCAATGTCTCAGCAAACTGTCAATGCCTCACATGACAATATGAGTAAGTCACGAATATTAGCTTGTATATGAAGATTTAATCTGCAATGAACACATTTTAATCCAATGAATTATAACCTGTAATCTAACCTGAGTGATGTGAAGAGGTCTGAGGGTAATGTAATCATTTCTCTATTTTCTTTTTCCTGACAGGTTTAAAAAGTCAACATAAAGGAAGGTGTAAAGTGAGCTGAAGCTGCCCATCTCCACAGAAGACAAAATGACTTTAGTCACATGAACATTAACATCACGTTTGATTGTGCTGAAGAATTTTACCCAGCGTCTCACAGAGAGACAAGATAAAATCATTTTGTTGTTTGGTGCCAAATGTACAATAAATGCGTTTTAAGTTTTATATGATATGTTAGAATGCAGATTGGGTTAATAAGAGATTTCGTTATGAGCACTTTCATCGTGTTTTGCTTTGAACACTGTTAGCTTCCAGGTTCTTCTCTTCTGGACACTGAATGTACAGTTTTAAGGTGGATCAACATGAGAAGCCTGTCTGTCAAAGAGTGAAAGAAATCATCTAAGTTGTCAAAAGTTGTCTTTACATTCCAAATGTAACACAGCGGGAAATTTAAATCCCACCAGATGTGGGGCTATTTGTCACTCTTAACCACACACATTCACCTCAGCCATGCACTACGAAGCGAGTTTAACCCATTTAGCATAACCATGGTGTCTTTCTATTACATCCACTTACCCTTAACTCGGTAACCAAGATATGCTTTCACATGAACGTTTGCATGAAGGCGTTGGTGCTGACAGCATCTCACCAATCAGATGGATAAGTAATGGCAACACAGTTAAGCACACATGATAGAGGCTCAAAGCAGCACATGATCACACAGCTGCTACAGAAAAAGCAGCAGTGTGATCATGTGTTAAATGAAAAGCTGTGTGCAGTAGTTCAGTATTAAATGTTCTGTATGGACGTTTGTGTGCTTGAAATAGATCAGTGTGAGTGGAAGAGAGCTGCAGTATTAATAAAGTTTAGCCTGTTTGAATCAAGGAAGGAAAACTGGCACCAGTGTGAGTTAACATACAAGTATCACAGCTCTCATTAGGTTAGTCTGAATAAATAAATATAAAATCAGAAGTCAAACTCAGACTTTGACTACATGCAGCGTCCACTACAAATAGGTAGCACAGTAAAATAGTTGTGAAAATGTTTGCAGCCAACAAAAAACAATCAAAACCCCCCCAAGGAATAAAGTTTTGTTTAATAATCTATATTTCTTACTGCGTTTTGGGGAAACTGAAAAACTTCAGACACTCCTACAGTCCATGCACAGACGCTCCACAGGATCTTCCAGGAATGGATATGGAATAAATTGGTCAGAAAGCGGTGATTTCATAGCTGTAATAAGCTCTAATCCAGCTGCAAGTTAGGTTAGGTTACTATGGCAGTATACCCCAATAAGAAGAGAAGCGTTTTCATAGTACAGAAAACCCAGGATGGACACTGAACCTATGAAATCCTGCTTCACAATGCAGGCCACGGTTCAGATTGATAGCCACTCATGGTCAGCCCAAAGCAGGATATTATTAGACAGTGAATGAGTTTAGGCCCGGATTACAGTTTAAATATTATACTACTTACATACTTTTTGTTTCATGTTGCAACTCTATAATAAATATTGCCTTTTATTCAGTTCTAGAAGTGAGGAAATTGTCATGTAAAAACAAATTGCAGCAATACAGAAAAAGCATAAAAATGTTCATAAGTAAAAGTCTCTGAACAGGCATAAATTTGAGTGCAGCTCCCTCTAGTGGTGATGCGCAGGTACTAGTCTATAATTTGTCCTTTCAAAGTCTCAACCGTGAAATAATTGCCAGAAAATTGTTTTTTAGTTTTTTGCAAATGCAGAAAAATGAGTGTTTATTGAGCCTTTTGAAAAAAATAAAAACATTTCCATACAATATTTTTGCTACATCTGCAATTTATTTTTAATTTTGTATACATATATCCATATACATCCATAAATTATTGCTGTTGTTGCAGTTTATGACTTATAAATGATGCAGAAGTTTGAAAAACTCACAAAAAGTCATCTACAAAATATGATACACTTGCTACAGGGTTAGGATGAGGGGGCAAAAACTAGTGACTGTATTACATAAACCGTCCGCTGGGTGCCGCCATTGCTTCTCCCTCTGGTTCTCTTATCGGTTAGCATTTGCTAACCACTCGGAAAGAAAAAAGAGGAACCACAGGCCTGATGACAAACTCGGGGCTGAGTTGAGGGTAGTGTGAGGGAGGTTAGGCTCGGGCTGGGGGTGGGAGGGTTGATGGTTGGTGTAACACTAAAAGCAGTAAAACAGGAAGTCAAGGCTGCAGCAGGAAGAGGTGTTCTCACACACTTTGTGTTGTCAGTGCACAAGGATGAAAATACATTGTTTCCTGTCACTTGCATATTCATGCTTCCTTTAAAGCCCTTCGTGTTTATTTGTTTTCAACAGACATTTAGACACTTCAGCCCATTCAGGTGTGCAGATTTAGAGTACTGCTTTTGTGCATTTTGCCTTGAGCACGAGGCTGATGTTCATAGTTTGATGTAAACATAAATGTTTGATTTACTCAATACAAAGATTGAAGGGATGCACGTTATCATAACCATAACAACAAGTGTAAATATGACGTTCTGTATATTCATCATGTTATCTCAATTACTGATGAAGCAGTAACCATTAATTGTTGAGTTTTCTGCTATCACTAATGATCAGAATTAAAGACAAACTAATGATCATAATCACACCAAAATTCATTCCTGTCATTACTTAGCCTGCACTGTGAACCGAAGCCTTGGCTATGAAGTCAAAATGCACCTGTTGGTTTAAGCATATGAGTACAACACAAATAATATTATGTTGTAAACATAATAAACATTTCCACATTCTGTAGGTATAATCTATATGTTAGCTTTTAATGACAAGTTTTAAGTACTAATCTGAATTGTTTCCAGTTTTACTCTGGACTATGATGCTCACAGACGATGCTGTGATCTGAAAGTGAGCGTAGGGAGCAGGTGGAATGGTAAATTTTTATATAACACCTTAATACTCAAAGCACTTTATACAACATGCCTTATTCACCCACTTTTTCATATGCTTAAGTTCTGGCTGTCTAACATTCATGCATATTCATACTCTGATGAATGCATCAGAGAGCAACTTTCAGTATCTTGCACAAGGATGCTTTGACATGCATACTGGAGCAGCCAGGGGTACTATTAGCAGATGACCTGCTTTACTTCCTGAGCTACAGCCACCCCAGAGCGAACCTGGTTGTATGCTGTGCAGAAAAAAGAAATGAAAGTCAGCAGACGTGAGACAGAATATGTGTGTGTGAGAAGACCTGGTGTAACAGTGAAGCTGCAAGGAGAAGCTGTAATGAAGATAACAGGTTTAAATGCATTGGGTTGACCATTCAAATCAATGGACAGTGCCCAAGATAGGTGAAGAAGAGCGTGTAGGCAGGGTTGAATGGGTGGAGACAAGTGTCAGGGGTCATTTATGAAAGAAATATAGCAGCAAGGATGAGTCGGTCACTCTGAAGCCAAGCTGGAGGTGGAAGAAATGAAGCTGTAAAAGAGCTTTGCTGGGAGTGACCAGGATGGACTAGATTAGAAATGAGCACATCAGAGGGACAGCTCATCTTGAGCAGTTTGGAGACAAAGTTAGAGGCATGGCTGAGAGGGAAAAAGTCTAAACAATTGATAGAATAGCTGCATGTTACAGGAGAGTCATTTACAAGTTTTATGGTTGTGAATCATCAAGCTTGTTCCTCATGATTTTTTTTTTTAAATCTGGGCCATGAAAAAGGATGGTTTTGACAAAATTCTCACACACACAAGCCTGCCACATCAAACCACAGAGGTGGTTTTAGGTGCTTCACCCAAGGATGTAAACCAAACATATCAGCATACAAAATAAATATGAGGAAGTAAGGTGTGGCTGAATGGTTTCAGTGCGTATTCAACCGAAAACACAGCTGTCAAGATCAAAGCATGAAAACAAAATCCTCCTTTTTAATACAAACGCATCGATAAACACTTTTTTTTTTATTAAATAATCATTTCGTGAGAGCATAAAAAATAAAGTACTTACAGTGATCAAACATATGCAGTATACAGACTGACACAAAACACAATGAATGGTTAAATGATTTCAATTTACACAGTAAATTTGTTACAAAGAGGATATAAAATGCATGTTCCTATTGCACTGTCCTTTCAATTTACATGACAAAAACATATTAACATGCATTTGATGTGACTGTATAAGATCCAAACAACTGAAAAACATATTTACATACGTGAAAATGATTCTGTACAAACTAGACACTTCAACAGGTCACTGAGATAACACCATACCCACCAATGGATTTGCAGTAAAACTTAAAGCTGTCCACCAGACAGAAATAAAATCATCCTATAAATGTCCGCTTCTGAGCACTATGAGAACTGAGTAAGACGCTGTGCCCTACGCGCGCCTTTTAATAGCATTCAAGGAACTGCTGAGACATCACATGTTTAATTTTTCTTCCTTAGCTGAGATACTTGGTTAGGTGAAAATCAAACCAAAAGAATCATCTTCTCACTGCAGAGAGGAAAACAAGTGCAGTAAACACACACACTGTCAAATGTGTTAACCTAAACCGAGATATCTCCTCGTGTGGGCCCAGAGAATTTGTTGCCAAGCGCTCCTTTGCCCGCCGTGCTGATGCCATGAACAACACAAATGAGTCATTTTTTCACCCCTGACACTGTGTTTCTCAGTCTATGAAAGGAGAAGTGGAAAGGGAAGTCTCTTTTTTAGTCTAAACCACCACCGTCAGTGTGTTTCTGAAGCCTCCATTGCGCTTTTGTTGCAGGGTGGTTAAAATGATTTTCAAAATAAATTACAATCCACAGTGCACGGTGGAGTGAGCTGAACATTCACGAGGTCGGATCCTGCTCTCCTGAGTCCTGGGGAGTTTGGTGTATCACCTTTTTCTTACGGACTGAGACCAAGTCGTAGAACGGATCCTTGGTGATACTTGCCCTATTTGAAGATAGAAAAAAGGCTGACATTAGCTTATAGGAGGTTAACAAAAGCTCATATAACAATATACAGTTAAATAACAATACATAACTATGTATTGCTCTTGGCTTATTGAAGAACATATTTTCCATAGGCATTCGGATTAATCCTGGTATAGGCAGAAGTTTATTGTTTCATTGGTTTAAAGCAGTGTCCTCAGTGCTAATGCTGCTGTTCCAAAATGCACCAGGGTGCTGATTTCAAACTAAAGCTACATGAGTCAGACATAAAACGCTGGCACTGGTGAACAAAGACATGCATCTTCCATTAGAGAGACTCTCTCTGAAACTGCTGAAAACCAAAATATAGCTAAAAGAAGAGTCAGCAACAAGCATGACTGCAACCAAGTACTAGTGGTTAGAGTGGGAGACTGATCCAAATACCAGCAGAACTTTATAATAATGTCTATTTAGCGTTATTGAGGTATAAGCAAGTGCTTAATACATCAGTTATACATCATTGTTCCTCTTTAGTATGCCATTTATGCATATAGCTTTATTACTATCAGTAATGATTATGATTATTACTGGGAATAATAGCTGTACATAGTTACATGGTGTAACAATAACACATGGATAAATAAACAAATCTGTAATGACATATTAAGGAGGAGTAAAGATATATAAATGAGGAATTAAGCACTTGCTAATATCTTACTTACACCTTACAAATGCTTAATATTGAGACATTTTAACAAAGTGCTATGAAAACTGTCTGAAACTTTTAATGTTGACTGTCAAATCTATTTTATTTACAGCCTACATGAATACATGAAAAGCTGAAAAAGGGTGATTTCTTATCTTAATTATTATGAGAAGTAAAATTCACAGTGACCTTATTGGTCGTTAAAATGTGTTCAGTTCAGAAATTGGTGATGATTCATCTCATAAGTCATACTGCACTCCTCTTGCCTACATAAGCTGCCTTTAGTGTTGCTCTTAGTATCGGCAATAGTGGCTCTCTAGACACTTGGTGTCAGATCAATAACAAAACTTCGCAGTATTGCACAGCATTGATACTAATCCTTTGTGTGCTTGTGTTGTACTTGCAGCGCTGCCTCTAAATAACCAGGAACCAAATGTGTGTTTTATCAACAACTTTGTTAGCAAATAATGAGATAAGACTGGCTGTTTTGTGAACATCCGGTGTGAATAGCATATTAAGCTTCATTGACCTAATTGAAAGAAGTGCGTGTAAGTGTGTGTGTGTGTGTGTGTGTGTGTGTGTGTGTGTGTGTGTGTGT